AAAATGTTCATGCTGCCCTGAAATTTTAAGTTTAGTCAATTTCCTTAAGATCCAGAAAAGTTATTCTAAAACTAAATTTATTTGTGATTGCTAAGGGCCACAAATACCATGCCAGCAGGCCCCAAAGCAACTTTGAATTTGAACAGGGACTAGAATACATGACCGCGGGAAGTGGCTGATGTAAGAGGTGTAATAATGTAAAAGTACTGTGACAAACATAGATAAAAGCATATTTCCCCCAAATATATATTCATGCAGTATTTGAAGGCAATCTCTACAAGTACAGTCAGCGCAATACAAAAACAACTTATTATTTTTATTATAATGCAGTATTAATTCGTTTGAAAACACATTATATTTTCAGAATTTTAAACAAAGTTTTAAGTTGAAGGTTTCATGTAATGATACCCTGATAATAAAAGTTCAGTCTAGGCCTACTTTAAGTCATCACTTTGAAGGCACACATGTAGTTTTTTTTCACATAACATGCATCGTCATTCCACTTGCCAACATCTAAAAAAGCAGAAAAAGGTCAAACCAACAGAGAATGAATAATCATTATAGATTCAGCATAATTTTTTCTACTAATCATGCAACTTTGTTTGATCTGTAAATAGAATTATTGGTAAAATGGTCAAACGAAACGCTTACGATTCCAGTTCATTTCCACACAGTCCTCTCTGTAGCTGAAGATGTGGTTGGGCTCACCAGGTGTCCAAATTTGATAGTTCCAGGAAGAACCATCAGTCCAGACAAATTTACCAGACTGAGAGAGTAAGACAGAGATACAACATTTTAAGGAAAAGGCTATTGACAAATAAAAAATGGAAATGTCTCATTTACCTGAAAAAGCTCAAAGCCTCCGATCCAGATGCGCAGGTTGTGTGGGTTAAACTTGATCACAATGCAGAGCACATCACCATTAGCCTTTGAGTTATGCACTGACACCAGGTGTCCACCAGTGGCTTTGCTTCTGCAGCTAAACTGTGCAGGAACAGCAATAATATCAATACTAAAGAAAATGTGGAAAGAATAAATTGGAGAATGCGAGCATATGTTCTTTTGTTTATCTGTGATGCCTGTTTTCTCACACTGACACTACTTACCTCAGCTGCAGTGAAGTTGAGAGGGTTGCTGAAATATTTGACACACCGTGACCCCACTCTGTACCAGTCCTCATAGCCAGTCATTGGACATGCTTTAGGCAGAACACAGCCTGATGATGGACTTGTACGTCCAGCAGCTTCATCTAAATGACAACATTACACCCCAAATTTATCCTGCACTCTTAAAAATAAAGGTTCCAAAAGGGTGTTTTCACAGTGGTGCTACAGAAGAAGATTTTTGAGTTCCCCAAAGAACCTTTCAGTGAACAGTTCTGAAAATAACACATTTTTGTATGAAAAACATGTAATAATTTGAAGAACATTTTGTGCAATGGAAAGGTCTAACTATGGATGTTAAAAGCTCTTCATGGAACCATTAATTCCAATAAAGACTTTTTAAAGAGTGGTGCGTTTAAAAAGTCTGTTTGTGTTTATTGCATGACATAACATATTTTAGTAAATGAAATAAAAGTTCAACATCACCTCTCTCCATTGTTAAGAAGCTACCACTTCCAAACAGGAGAGTTATCAATAAAAAGCTAAAAGACATTCCTGCTACACTGTGAAGAAGAAAACATTATCAGTGGAAGGTTACATGTATTTTTAAAAAATACAATTTTAAAGATTTTTTATTATTATTATTTATTTATTTTGAATAATGTTAAAATAATACAAGGTTACCCAAGCTTATCTAGGTGCAAAAATGACAAAATATCTTGGTTTCTGGATACAAAAAACAGTTTTAGTTGGAGAAGAGGACTTACCACTGCAATCCTTCCACTCTTGTTTTCTATGTTCCCTCATAACAACATTAGTCTGTCTTAAATCTGTCGCTGCATTCTTTTTCACAACTCCTCCCTTTCTATAACCAGGGTTATTATAGTTAACTAGAACTAAAACTTAAACCATTAAAAATCATTACTTTGAAAAATAACTGAAATAAAATAAAAAATTTCAGCTAGTTGCAACATTTCTTCTCATGTACTAACATAACTCAACCTAACACTTCAAGTACAACTTAAAAGAAAACAGAAAATATAAAAAATTAACACAAAATATGAATAAATAAATATTAATATGCTAAAATAATTTTGTCTCTAATTCAGCCTTCAGTGTGTTAAATGGAGTTTGACATGGAAGCTCTGCATGCATGGCATGCATTTTCATTGTATTTAAAT